ATAAAAATGAAAATATTGAAGGATCAAAACAAAAAAAATATATAGAACAATAATTACGCCTCCAAATCAGCCTTTGCCACATATTTATATATAACAAATATAACAAATCAACTGCAGAGATTTTCTTTAAATTATGGGATTAGTTGACCAAACCAAACTTATAGGAATAGTATCAATATAAAATAAAAAAATAATAATGATAAGCCATAATTAAGCCTCTAAATAGATCTTTGCTACATATCTGTATATTATAAGCATAACACAATTAATAAAATATCATTAAGGTTTTATCAAAGAATTTATTTATGAAAAAAATTGATATTGTAATATATGAAATAATATTTTGAAAATAAATATAAATGCATAGTAAATCCTATTGTTGAATTAAGATATCACAATAACCGAGGCTATGAAATTTTGGCTATAATATTTAGACATATATACGTACGTATATGCATAGAAGGCTTGTTGGTTAAGACTTAAAGGGTTTAAAATCAGACTTATTGTCGCAGCTGATGCTAAAAACGGCTGATGCTGAAATTCGGATCTATTTTGATATGAATTTTTTAAAAATTTTTGAGGTGTTTTTTCCCGTTTTTTTTTTATAGTTGAGTTAGTGTTTAGGGTTAGACTTGATAATTAACAAGTATATGTGGATTTTAGCAGAGCTTATATTTTTAAATTGAGACCCCAAATTTCAGCTTCAGCCGTTTTCAGCATCAGCTGTGACACTTATTTTTTATATATTAAAACTGACCAAAACTACTTTTAATATAAAGAATTTATTTAGTATTCGCTGAAGATAATTATCATATGTTCTATTATTATATGATCAATCAAAAATTTTTTACAAATTTTAATATTAAAATTAAACTTTAGAGTTCGGGTTTAAGGCTTAAATTAGAGATTAGAGTTTTTAAAGCATTAAACATTTTTACTTAGTATACCAAACACTAATTATCAAAGCCATTTTTGAGAAACAATATATCCAATAAATTTTATCTCTTGTAAGTATTAAAATTATCTAAAATTAAAATCAGTTTCAAACTCTGAACCAAGACAACAAGGGCTATGGCAAATATTAGCTAATATTTTTAAGTTGAGGGTTAAAAAAATCTTATATAAAATTTATTAATTGCTTAATTGGTTAAGAAAATATCTTATCTGGGAGGTGAGTAAGCCTCTATAATAAATAGATATTAAATAATAAGTATCATTGCTCTAATAACGGCTGAAGTAAATAAATGTGAAGCAAAAAATGCTTGTAATAAAAATTGTGCATAGCAGTGTATAAAAGATGCTAAGTATTGAAGAAAAAAAATACATTTTAAAATTCTAAAATAAAGTATAGAGATAAGATAAAAACAGCCTCATTCTTGTTAAAGTTCTGATTAAAAGGTAGAAAATTTGGAGTTTTGGCTGTGAAAGGAATAATATCGTTAACTAAAGCCTCATACTAATGCAAATTATAAAAAGCATCAACTTTGCCCTCTGCAAAAAGCAAAATCTTCAGATTTCAATAACATTATTTTTAGTTACATCAAAATTTATTAAAAATATTTTTCAACTTTGCAAGCAAATAAAAGATACCTTCGTAACTGAAATCCGAATCACTGATAACACAATTATGTGTTATAATAACGAAGGTGATCCTGTATCCTTCGTATTCTCTGAAGATATTACTACTATTCCATTAGAACAAGCCCGGATGTCATTGTATCTAGATGATTTAAAAAGAACCGATCTTCCAACCAGATTTCTTGAAGAAGTGCATGGTGAAACCTGGAAAGATCAGGTCACATATATTGGAGACAAGATGCGTCAAAATCGTCTTGACCAGATCTCCCTTCTTCAGTATTATTATCTTTTGGGTGAACGGTTAGAAGCTCAATTTTGGAGTTCAGCTGCCAAAAAGTTTATCCAAATTAATTTTTTTGTCAGCACTTATCGTTATACATAGAAGGCAGCTTTGCGTGCATATTAATTGTATAATGACCGGGGTATTCATAATCTTCTTACTGTTCAAAATATTACTGCTAATGCTTTATTACGATTATCAAATGAAAATTTTAGAGAATTAGTGAAAGAAGCTCAACTAATTATGGCAGCTGAAGTTAATTATATTCTAGAGCCCCAATTGGAAGCTCAGAAATAAGTAAATATATAACATTGTATTATTTATTGATTTGTTTTTTATTGCTATTTTTGTTCTTAATTGTCTCGCTAAATTGATTATTAAAATTGGTAAGTTATATTAAAATAAGTATAGAAGTGATGATTTACAAAAAATAAATAAAAAGATTATTTAAGGATAGGGTATACAAATTTCCAATTTCATATAAAATAGATTGTACATCAACTTTTTGTATATGATATCATATGATTTACATGTAAACATCATATGATTCGGCCAATCAAAACTAGCAATTTCTGTGTAACCCCGAAAAAACATATAGCGACCCCAGAAACTTTGATTATATATAAAGTTCATTTTTTTTAAAGCAATGTATATTCCGCAACTTCACTATTATAAACAAACTAGTTTAAACTACATATCATATAAATTTGATAAAAATTAACTGAGATGTTAAAAAGTTTAATCAGAAGCATTTTTTTATTTACTATGTAAAAATTCAATGTACCATGCAGATCATATGAAAAATAATCTACGTACACCCTACCCTTAAAGCTTGTGATAAACAAATTTTACACAATAAAATTAATTTTTTAAATGCCTAATTAGTTATCTTCGTTATTCGGTACTGACACTAGACTGTTTTGTCTACCCGATTCTAGTTTATCAGGTTAAGTAATCGAGTAGTCCAGTTTTATACAATTTAATTAGTCCAGTCCAACTTAATTTCATCTAGTATAGTCCAGTAATATTTGCAAATTGTTGCTATAAGAATTTTTTTTTGATCAGTAACAATACCAATACCATTAAACCTGATTTTATAATTAATATATAACTCAAATTTTGTAATAAACCTGTATGTTTACATAAACAAGTTATTGAACACAGTCAATACAAGATTAATTGTAAGTTGGCCCATGATTAACTTATTTGGATGGCTATAATAATAATTTAATACAGTTACCTAGAACTACAATTTCATATCGATCATTGTAGCATCATGATTCTCTTGATTCTTTGATCATCAGCTCTATAGTTAGATGATTTTAATGCTTAAAAATTAGTAATCATTATTATAAAATATTTTTCCACAATTCGACAAATTATTTTAATCATAAATAAATTTTTATATCAAATCCGAAATCTTGACTATTTTTCAATATTATTTATGTAATTTTAAAATTTATAGGTAACTAAAGTAGGCAATTTAAAGGATCAAGTTTTATTTAAAAAAAAAATCATGCATAACTACAAATGATTTATTTATCTTTTTATTTTTCATTAAAAAGAATGCTACATCACTATTTGAGATTGTATCTGTATACAACATTCGTTAACTAAGTCATAGCTATTGCTACCTGGGTAATTCTGAATACTTTTTAATCAAAAATAAAAATATAACTGTTAACATATAATATTGCATTTAATTCACCTTAGAATAGCTAATACGTATGAAGAACATCACTCAAAATCATGAATTATATCCATTATATGAATTAGCCCAATAAAAAGAAACTCTAATGCATTGTAAGAATAAAATATAAATTTAAACAGTTAACAAAATCAGTATATCCCTGTTATCATACAATATTACATTTAATATTATTCTATAATGGCCGATAATATGCCGGAGACTATCATTCAAATTATAATTTATATCACTTCTGGTACTGAAATTGGCTGATACTGAAATTCGACCTATTTTGTTATGAATTTTTAAAATTTTTTGGGTGTTTTTTTCCTTTTTTTTTTTTAAGGTTGGGTTAGGATTTAGGGATAGAATTGATAATTAAAGAGTATATGTGGATTCTAGCAGGGC